ATTGGCTCCTCCACCAAAACCAGCACCCGCAACCACTGGCGATACACCCGATTATTTCAACACGGTACACAACCCCTTCTCCCTTGAGCCCAACGTTTTCGAGCAGTCCTTTGGAGGCGATTCTGGAAACCTGCAAACTCCTGGTGGCCGCCCTATTCTCCCCCCAGTCGCCAACATTACGTCACCTTCACCCCTTCCTGGTATCACACCTGGGTGGCAGGGCTTGCGTGCCGGTCCCTTGAGCCCTGCTATGCTCAGCGGTCCAACCGGACAAACTGATTACTTTAGCGAGTCATTCCGAGGCTTCCCAACACCGAACGAGTCCTCTCTTCGTACTGGTCTCACACCTGGTGGCGGTGGTTCTATGTTCCCAGCCCCCAGCCCTAACACACAAGCTATTTTCAATCTTCAGAGCGCTGGTGTCACGCCTGGAACTGCCGACTTCCAGCAATCTGCTTTGCGCGCGGCTGCCCAGCACCAGGCTAACAACAGCAACGCTAACAAGGCAACGTCCAACGCCCCTACGTCCCAGCCCGAAGCCGCACCTGCTGTAATGGATCGCCAAACCAACAACTACCAGGCACAACCGCCACAACAGCGCGCTCACAATGAACCGTATCCCAACCATGACGTCAGTAGCGCGGCTAACGATCTCTTGTCTTTTGCTAGTCAGAATGGTGCTGCCCGTAACAACCAACAGCCATACTCCATGGCGCCTCAGCAGCAGTCCATGAATGCTGGTCACATGCCTGTCCAACCTGTCAATGCCAACCACAGCCGTCGTGACACCAAGGGCTCTATTAACAGCGTTCAATCTGCAGAGACTGGAGATTTCTCAGAGAGCGGCCAGAGTGAGCAAGCCAAGACCGGCACACGGTCACGCGCGAAGAAGGGTGCCGCTAATGGCAAACAAGCTGCCGGTAACAAGCGAAAGGCTGAGGACGGTCCCAAGAACTCGCGAAAGAAGAGCAATGCCAACCAAGGTATGGGTGACGACATGGATGATGGCGACTCCGACGACGAGAACAACAATATCAAGGAGGAGGAGTACGACAGCAAGGGCCGCAAGATGACCGACGAGGAGAAGCGCAAGAACTTCCTCGAGCGCAACAGGTATGTAAACACACCTTCTGCTTCCACGTCACGTTACTTACGTAAATTAGGGTTGCTGCCCTCAAGTGTCGACAACGTAAGAAGCAGTGGCTCGCCAACCTTCAGGCCAAGGTTGAGCTTTTTAGCACGGAGAATGATGCCCTCTCTGCTACTGTCACGCAGCTTCGCGAGGAGATTGTCAATCTCAAGACACTTCTCCTTGCTCACAAGGACTGCCCAGTATCGCAGGCCCAAGGTCTGCACGGCGCCGCCATGAACAACTTCCTTGGAAGTGACATTAACCACCAAAACCCATATGGCATCGCTCAAATGCAGCCTAATGGTGTCCACATGATGCCCATGCAGCAAGGCCAGATGATGAACCGGTTCGTATACCCACCCAATCGAAACACCTCACCCCACCAAGAAGACACCGCTCGTTACCCCTCCAATTACTGAGATTGTCGCTCACCTAGGTTCAGATAATTGGGAGTGAAAACGCTGTCATCATTCTCGTGTAACCCACGCGCCACTGGCAGCCTCGACGACCACTACCCTCCACTTACAACTTTGTAATCTCCGCACCTTCTCCTTCCTCTCCTTCTCTCTCGGACGCATCGACGTCACTCTCAGCAATGCATGCACTGGCGCTTGGCGTTGTGTCATTGTAAATCCCCTGTTGACATCCAGGAACTCTGCAATTTGGTCACTCTCCCCACATCACCTACTAGATTGCATTCATTCCTTATCGGGCCGGACACTTGGAACGGCAAAGGAATCCTGGGGGCTGGCCAATTGCTCAATGTGATTACGAAACTTGTCGTCTGCGACGTCGGATGATGACGACTTGTTCTTCGACATTCTCTTTAGTAAACTGTCTATGGGTGGGGTGTATATATGGTTGACGTTTGGGTTCATCATTTCACTGGCGTTGTGTAGGCACTTATACAACGATTCCTTCTCTTATTCACTTGTAGCGCGCCAGTCTAGAGTTGCGCTCGGCGTTTGTTTTTGGAGGGCATCTTCGTCGGCGACGACGTTTGGGCTTCGAGCCTTCCTTTCTTTTTCCAGGCGGGTGTGTGTTCTGGAGGAGCTTTTGAACCCGACACGATTGTTTTCTCGAGTCTACGGTTAACAATGGGGTCCATGGCGTAGAGAATTGGGAAAAGGGAAAATATATACCAACCGATTTTGTATAACGGCAATGTTTTTGGTTGGTATTGAGGGGAGGAATGTGCATGTACGTATACACGCAGACGTCAATGGCAAATGTTTATCTTGATGTCATTTTGTGTGAGAACGAGTGATGTCGGGTGATGTGATGTGATGTTGGTTGCCAGTGAGCATTTTGGAGTGGTTGTCGAGGCTGAGAGCAATTTCTTAATGTCATATTCCATGCGCTGTGGGGATGAGACGTCGTGGCGCACCTTTCTCTGTTCTTAAATATGGCCATGGCTGGAAATTTCGCCTAAAAGTACAAAATATGGTGCGGATATTCACTCAACCATAGTTCATCCTCGCATACGATAGTGTGGATTTCAGGAAGTTGGTTTCCAATCAGATTACCGACGAAGATCATCGCCTTCTCTGAGAGTAAATGTAGCTTGTGCTTTCAAGTGGGGATTGTCGCTATTATACAATACATATGTTTGCTAACAGGATGGGCTATTGGCAATAAGGAAATTCTGGCTGCAAGACCTCAATCGATCTCTTTGACCCAGTCAAGCAATACTTCGGCACCCTTTTCCCACTCGACATGGTTCTGCAAATGGTGCGCCACTCCTTTTACGATTTCAAACTTTACACCGTTACAATCTGCACTCTCGTCACTTGCAGTGTCGACAGAATCCTCTGACACGCCATCTAGTTTTTTCAGTCTCACGCAATCGAGGAATGCCGTACGGTAGCGCTTTGCGGCGTCTAGCAAGACGAAAGGTGTACAGAGGACGTCGAACTCAGCAGCAAGAACGAACAGTCTCGATACAATACCGGCTTTCTTACCCGCATTTGATTTCGTCGGTTGTTTCGGCTTCCACCCAACGATGGACTGGATGACATCTGGGCCTGTGACGATTGGAAAAAGCGCTTGCATGGCCCAGAGCATAGATTCGTATGGGCTGAGCAGACGCTCCAAAGCTTGTACAACCGACCAAGGCGTCGATGCCGTAAAGAATGGATCTTTGACTTGCTTGGTAGTTGCAAGTAGATACCTAGAATGGAAGCAACGGTAAACAAAGTTCGGCAGTGCTGAACTGGCCCAGAACGCATAACACGACCACCTATTTCCACGTTAGCATCTTCCCCCCATCCGTCAAGCACCATACTCAACGAAAATGAGAAGGATAAGAAAAGGATAACATACGACCCAAACCCCGGCACAGCAGCAAACATACAAAACCCCCTCACCCTAACCAACCCCTTCCCCAACACCCACTGACTCAACGCTCCCCCCGCCGAATGCGCAACCAACACAACCCTAACCTTCTCTCCCTCCCCCCTCCTCCTCCCCTCCATCCCCTCCACCGCCTCAATCCCCGCAACAAGATCCCCCGCCATACTCCCTCGACTCGTAAAATACAAACCCAAAAACCCCGGATACCAACTCCCGCCATGACCCCGGTAGCTAACCGCATAACACGGATAACCCTTTGCGCTGAAGAATTGCATGTAAGGGATCCAGACTGAGGCGCAGCCGAAGCCGCCGTGGGCGAAGAAGAGAGGGGGGAGAGAGGTTGGGGCTGAGGGGAGGGCGCAGAGGAGTTCGAGGGGGCCCGAGGGCGTGGGGATGTAGGTGCGGGTTAGACCTGAAGGGAGGGGGGATGGGGAGGGGGGGTTGGGGGTTGGGGGGCGCCATTGGAGGGTGAAGGGGCCGAAGGGCATGGTTTTTTTGTTCGTTTTCTTGGGGGGGAGTGCTGGTTGGTATATGTATCTAGGGGTTTTGCGAATGGATGGGGGAGTTTGGATGGAGACGATGGTTTAGTGGTGGTACTGGCAGCTTATAGTCAGGTGTGTGTGTGTATGTGTGTGTATGTGTGTGTGTGCTGAGAATGTTGGATGAAAGCGCTGCCCGAGGAATTTTTTTCTTCCAGCAGCTTTATACGAGTTTTTTATGGAATTTTCTTCGGTAGCACATGTGACACTTCAGCAGACATCCTGGTGTTAGTGATGAGCCCTTTTTTGAGTGGTTATGACTGCGCGGGGTTCTGGCTTGTTCAGCCGCACCTCGTAGTTGCAAGGGTCTGGGCGGGCTAAAAATATACCAAGGGGGGGATGTAACCGGTGAGTGAGGGTAGCAAATGGCTAGGGGATGTATCTGGGTGTAGAGTGAGTCATTGTGATAGTGATCTCATCGATATCGGGGATTCGTGTGGATTTTGAGGGTGACGGAGATGAAAGAAAGATGGGGTTCAGGGTTGCAGGCGCGGGGTGCTGCGCTACGATGAAGGGCTGATTGTTATGTTTTTTTCTCTTCATGTCTAGTTCCTTCAAGGTAATATGTCGGACAGCAATATTATTTTGAAAACTGCAATGTAGGGTTCTGAGAGTAGCTTTGTTTCTTGGAGATCTGACGTTGTTAGTACCATTGTTTGATGACGGGATATGAATGCAACTGCCACTGTTTTTGTTTGGTATAAAGAGTTGGTGTTGGAGTGTGATTTGAGAGAAAAGAAGAAGCGTTTTTAGTGAATGCAATAGCTGACTTTTGGGTGTTTATACTAAGAGCAGGAAAGGATAAGCTGAATCTCAGGCCTACTATCTCCACGCGCATACGATAGAGTGTGATCCCAAGTGCGCATGCCAGAGACTCCCAGACATATTGACTCTTTCATTACCGGCCGCCGAATTATGCGGCTTAGCTTACTGGTGGATGCCCCGAAACGAAACGAACAAAGGGCCGTGCTCATCTTCTATCGCTTTGTCGCACTCCCAAACCGCCGCTGGCTCCTGAAGGGATTTAGCCTGCTCACCGCGTTTTTGACTTTGCTGCACTTCGAGGTTTTGCGTTGGATGTTCGAGATCTTGTGTAGACCGCCTAGACCTGGCTGGTACATGGCACTGTCGATGGATTGTACGCGGCCGGTGTGATGTGAGAATGATGGTTCGGGCGAAGACTTGGTGGAAGGATGCGTTGGGGTATCTGTATCTATCTCACCAGGTTGGGAATTGCTAGGACCTTCAATAGGCTGTTCAAGCTGATCCATTTCTAGGTAAGAATCTGGCTCAATTACTGGCAGATCTTGGCCGATGTCGCATACTTCCACTGGCGGTGGTGGTAATGGATGATGTTGTCGGAGAAAGTCTTCTGCTGTTGGCTGACGGAGATATATATCGTAAGAATTATGGACACTATTGGTTGACTGAGTATGAAAGGTCTCGTCATGCAGTGGGTATGGCGGCGGTTGGGTCTTAGACTGCATCGCACTAGATAATTGTGTTGTGTTCTGTCTCGATATCGCAGCGGCAACAAATCCACTGTGGTCGGGCATACTCAGATGATTGTGGCGCACAGCGCGCACATTTCTCAAGGAATATTCATCAAAATTGGAGGACGGCTGTGACTGACTGGACATGTTTGGAGTATGGGGCCCAGAGAGGTGTCTAGAGTCAGTATTAAATCCGAATGAAGGTTGTATGAAAGAGCCGACTGGAAGAGCAGTCAAAGGAAATATACCAGAGAAGATTGATGGAGAGTACCCGAATTGAGGATGGCGTATAGATAATGACTGATTTAGGTGAGCATTTCGCGTTGCTGGGCCAGAGTATGAGGATGGACCAGAAAATTCTGTTACTGAAACCATAGTGAATGATTGTGCACGACACATGTGACCAGTTGCGGATTAAAGGAAATTCCTTTAGGGCAGTTATGAAATTAATGTAGACTCCCAACTTGGTAATTGAGTGAATTGTGCGACAATGACATATGTATTCGGGAGAAAAGACGCTTATAAGGGACAGCGGCTGTAAGGAGTGAATCGTCTCCCAGCCCATCAAAGGCATTGTGTGGGTGTATCTTTCACTGCACACCTCCTTCTTTCACTGAAGAGCTCATAATGTACGTCTTAGCTAGGGAACAACTCCAACTACGAAAAGCATCGATGATACATGAAAGCTTTGATTCAAGAGCTATAGATGAAGAAGAGATGAGACTAAGGTAATCGGAGGCGAAACGAAATAAGGGAAAGTGAAGTCAAATGTGAAGCTTAGCCTAGGCCAAACCAAAGAATCTCAGAATCGCTCGTTTTCTTGAGAAGTTTGGTTTCCAATCGTCCTAGAGCTCAAAGTCAGCATATGCCACGTCATGAGCAAATTTCGTTCGTTCGGCGATTGCAAATAAACGTGGAACGATGGTGCACAGAAAAATCACAACTCACCTGCATCATTGCTTCAGTGATAGCACTGTTAGCTTGCTTTACACCGTCCACCAAAGCTCCACCCCAGACTTGGTATGCAGCCCTGTTCCCATCATTGAAGATGTCGTTGTTGTAAGTCAGCATTACCTTGCCACTTGCTGTGTCGGTGTTTTTGACCTGTTGCCAATCGTCTTTGTAATTGTCGTCCACGTTAGCGTCATAAAGTTGGATCTTGATATCGGACTCTGCTATTGACATGGACTCAGCAACAGCTGAGACAAGCATTGCTACCTTTGCCTGGTACTTTGATGTGGTCCCGGCGACAAAGGTTGGTGTGAATATGGTTGCCTTGATGATGTCGTTAGTATATGGCAATTCCAGTTGTCGAGTACAAAAGGGAGATTCATACCTTGAGATTCTTCTCTTTAGTTAAGCAATCCTTGGGGAGTTGAGGAAATCCTAGGAAGGAGGGATTGTCGATATCGCCTTCTACTAGCGGCTTAATGACTGCGTTTCGGAATTGCTCTTCCGTCGCCTTTCCCTTCCACCAACTTTCCCAATGATGCGACTGTCTCTTGTTAGCTAAAGGATATCTTACAAAAAGGCTAACGGTCTCTTGCCATAAACATGCCGCATTGAGAAGTCAACAGCACAGATGTACATCCATACAGGCCCATGACACCAGCCATGAACGGACCTTGTTTCCATTGCATGAAGATAGAAGTGGAACGCTCACGACTGTCGACATCCTCCAAGTCAACTAAGAAAGGTTTGGTATCGAAGAACTCTTGGGCAAAAGCGTCCAGACCTCCCGGTGTTGGTTTGTTCAGGAAACCAAACACGGGGTCTGCTGTTGTCGGGATTGCACGAGGCAATGCCTTCCGGTTACTTGTGGCCTCTACAGCTCGTGCTTTCTTAGCCGGGCAAGAGCCTCCACCGCAGGTAGCGGGAGTACACAAGACTTGCCCTTTCGGATCATCATCGGGGACCTCTCCACACCCACTGTCCCTCTCTTTCTTACGGATGTCATTGAACTTGTTCCTCTTGGAATTAGACTTACTTCCAAGTGGATTGAACTTTGACTTGGGCGAAATGCCATAAAGCAGTTTTAGACCCTCGACATCGCGCTGGCTAGGAGCAAGGACTTGCTTGATCTGGTCTCCATTCGGCTTGGTCAAGACTGATCCCATACCACTATCGTAGATCATGATAGAGTCCCAATCAGGTTCCGTAACCGACTTGCTCGCTCTGTATGCAGTTGAATCAGCAAATGGGAGATACTCAGCAGCGCTGAATCGATGAGCCTTAGCAAAAGCCCTCGAAGTGCAGGCTTTCTTCATTTGATCGGCAGTCAGTGTCGCAGCGACGCTGGCGTAGTCTTTCAGGTTCTGGCATTTGAAATTTGAAGAACCGAAGACATTTCCGCCGGCAGCAGCGTAGTCAGATGACCAGAAAGCTGGGTTTTGATGCTCATGATGCAGGCCCCACGCATGCTAAGTCTCTTATTAGCTGGGCTTCGATGAAACAAACATGAAGGGATGCTTACACCCATTTGATGCGCAAAATTGGCAACCAAGTTTTGCTTTCCAATATCAAGATCGGCAGTCAGTCTCATTAGAGGCCCTCTGTTCTCTGGGTCGCCGCTCATCTTATTAAGAGGCGGTATGCCAACAGTACAGGACAGCCCATCGCTCTTGGTGATGAGAAGGAAGTTCGGCCTGTTCGCGTTGTTGTTACAGCTACAAAGGTTCTGTCAGAATTGATGCAATCTTCAAAAATTAGTTTCTTATCAGGATCAACTTACTACGACTCGTCCTTTTCTTCCCAGTCAAAGCCAGATCCAAGCCCTGAGTTTTCCCATAGCTTTCTCGCCTCGAGCAGATCTTCGAAGAAAAGTTCCTTTGTAGCTTTCGACTCAAAGCAATATGTAATCTTGCCGTTTGGCCACAAGCGGTCGTCCGAGTTGGCGGCACCTGGGTTGATGGTCACATAGCGCTTCTTGATTGTGTTCGTAGACCTCCGAGAGCCCGTGCCAATTGTCGCATTCTCTTTCTCAGGTACGAAAAGGTCGCCATGCAGCTCAGTGTGACTGGGTGGAGTATAAACGATAGAAGATTCCCAGGCACGACTCCCTGCAAGAACAGGATGAGCGGCCAGGATAGTAGAGAAAACGAGTGTTAAGATGGAAGAACCCATGGTGCAATAAAAACTATGAGCAAGTTAGCTACATTTTACATGGTAGGAATCAAGTGTGCTCACCGAATGTATTGAGTCACGTCTTTACGACATGTCACAGTTGGAAATACTTGGTGAGTAGGACCACGAGAACACAGCAGGTCACGATTGCGAGTACCGTATCTCAAGAGACCTTGTGTGCGCTGCGCCCATCATTTTCCACCATAAGAGAACTAGTTTGGTCCTTCCATAAAGGGAAAGCCAAGGCATGGATATTGACATGCGCTAAATATAACTGTTGAAGAGTGGCACAAGTGCACACGGGTAACTAGAATGAATAATTATCCTTGCAATCCATGCTAGAACACCCAGCCGTGCTGTCATGTGTTGGTCAAATTCATTAGCTTCGCAGCTCAAGACTGTCTCGAAAGCCGATCCCAGTAAATTACACGATACCGTAACAAAACAGCGGAACGCCTGACCCGGCACAGTGGCGAGATAGGGCCGAGATGATAGTGAAGGGTCAGTAGATGAACCCAGACCAAGGACGGCACTCGCGCCACGAGGAAGGTGCCTGGTAAGGCCGCTTTCGATAGAGGCCGCCTAAAAAATATATGCAGGGTTTTATCTGCATGCAACGTCGCAATTTTGGTGCATCTGATTCAATGGATGTGTGGGCATGTAGGCTGCCAAGTACAATATCTGAGAACACGGGAAATGTCACAAGATCGATAAGCTGATGAAGAAGCACCCCGCCTATACAGAACGATTGTATCGCACTCAGTTTTCTGAGGCATGTACCTTAGCATGTACATATGTGCTGATGACGTAAGAAATCAGATCCGTCAAGCTTCTCTTAACCTTATGACAGCCAAAAAGTGTATGACGCGGAACGCGTATCTCCGATCATGAGTGGAGGCCTTGAAAATCCTATCCCCTGAAGTTCCCTAACTTTCATCTTCTTTCATCAGCCTCGGGCCTTGGATGCTTTTCCAGGGTCAATCAGGCGTCCCGAGCCGCTAGCATCCAGGCGCGTCCCCCATATTTTATGAGTGGGCCAACTTACGCTAGTGCGAACCTTTATGCAGCCCCTGCATCCTCCCGTAGCCTAGCTCTACAAGCATTTGGTTGCATGCATGCGGACAAGATACCCGGTAGGGACACGGCTGTGCAACGGGCCCAAATGTATACCAGCATTAGAAGTTTTGGATCCATGCCTCGACTTTCAGGCGACCATACTCCTATCAATTCTTCAGATTGCCGTATGCTGCTGGACAGGGAATAGGCAGGTTTGCTTTCGGCTCTATTGCTTCTCCTACCAAGATTGTCGTTTGTTATTGCAAAAGGCTCATCTTCGTCTTCATCATTTGTACAGGTGAGCAAAGGAGGGCTTTGCTTAAGTGAGTTTTCCCGGCTGCTTTCTCGAAGTCTGCTTACAATTATCTCTTGAAAGGATAGCCAACCTATCATTGATCCGAATCTCGCAGAAGCCTGACCTTCTCGTTTACGGCATCATGGCTCCCTTACTGGCTTGGACAGTATTATTCACATCAGTCATTTCCACAGCCTCTGGGGCTGCCATAAAACCCCAGCGACAAAGTGTCAACAAACGATCAATCTCGAATATCTTGGAACGCAAACCAGTAGTCCGTCCGAGAAGAGACGGAGACCCAACAGACTACTCCTGGGTGAAGAGCTTGGTTGCAATAGGAGACAGTTTCACTGCTGGGATTGGTTCAGGTAACCATCTAGGCAGTGTGTTTCACGATGAAAATAGTTGGTTGTGTTCGCGTTATGACCTGTCATATCCAATGCTGGTCTACAACACAATCGGATCCTCAGTCAAAGACTTCCAGTTTCCTGCATGTAGCGGGGACCGATCGGTGCAGATTTTTGAGCAAGTCGAAAAGCTCAAGGATAACATCGACATGGTTATCATGACTGCTGGTGGAAATGATCTTTGCTTGGTATGGTACTCTGCATCTCTTTTTGAAAACATTTTGGTTTCATCTTCGGACATGCACTTACAAATTTCTAGGCCGGAATGATCAAGAAATGCGTTATGCTTCCCTACGAAGGAGAAGAGACATGCAATGCAATCATCGACAAAGCCCAAGAGAACATCGATACCATTCTCAAGTCCAATCTCAAGCAGATCCTGTTGGCTCTCAACGATAAGATGGCCGAAGATGGGGTCGTCGTGTATAACGGCTATTCCCAGTTCTTCAATACTGAGAATGATGATTGTGCCACCAAACAGTCGTGGGCATTTAGTAGATGGCTTCCCAAATATTGGTTCAAGACTGCTCTTACGCTCACAACTGCGCGACGAGAAAGGTTCAACAAACTCGTTTTGGCCATCAACAATGCGATCAGAGACGTCATATACATCTTGCGCGACGAAGAGTCTATCAAATACCAAATCGGATTTTCGAACTGGGATCCTTGGGTGCGAGACGGAGTCAAAGGTCAGATGTGCGATCCGTCCTCAAGCGGAAAATATCCCGACTCAGACCAACCAGACCTCCAGTTCTTCAAACCGTCAACGGATCTGGCTAGTTGGGAACATGACGAGCTCAGGAAAAGACAAGAAGATATCAAGCAAATGCACGAGAATGGCACACTTCCCTCGAACAAGGACACAATTGACCCGAGCATCTACAACAGTATTCTTTGGAAGTCACCTTCTCCCGGTGCAGAAGTTATCCATAAGCTCAACAAACGAGCTCCTGCACCACCCGGTTGTCCAGGAGATAATGACTGGTTTGACCCGACACTGGGCTTAGGACTACCCGACAGTTTTGGTAAACTCTTCCATCCTAATGAACTGGGACACGAAACCATTGCCTCATTCGCACTTGCCAAAGGCATTGATCTTCGCGCCAAAGTACTCGGTCAAGACTCTGAGACGTGTGCCGTCACAGACGAGTTCAAATGCTGGCAAAAAGAAGGGCGCAAAGGCTATGTAACAGGTGACAGGATGAACGAGAGCATTGAAAAGTTCTGTGGCACAGATGTCAACGCGCCTGATCACGAAGTTGGCTGGAGAAGGGAATTCACGTATTACCCAGGCACACTGGACGAACATACCTTTGTTTTGCAGCTCGGCCAGGACGCTGGCGACTTCAAAAAAGATGACTGTATCGAATCTTTCCAACGAATCGTTCACAGTTGTGATGGAAACGATCCCGAGAACCCGCTAAATTGGAAGTTTGGTGGAAGATGGCGCCGAGACGATTACACGTATGAGATTAATGTCAAGCGCGATAACAGGCCATGGCCGGTGAAGGCGACGTACGGTTCATGCAACGGAGACTACAAATTCCTCTGGAGCTACTACGAAATCAGAGGTACATTATGATCCGATACTGAAATTTTAACCTTTACTAACCTGGGATGCAGGTGCTGGATTCAGCAGTTGGGACTACGGACAAGAAACCATTCTTGACCAAACAAGAAAATGCTTGGGCTTGGGTGTCCATGAATGGGGGTTCTCATACTTTGATGAACCGGATGAAAACGGTTATGAATGGTTTGCAAGCTTCCGCACCCCAGTTTGGGTTAAGGCAAGGTGCTTTGCAAACAACAAAGTTGTCATGGCCTCTGGAGGATTTACAAATGGGTGCAGCGGCAGTGACTCCTGATTGGCTATTTCAGGCAACCCGGTCCTTCTTTCTTTATGTATTATTTACACTTCTAAGTAATATGTCTCTTATCAATGTCATCTTCAGCTCCAACATTCATCAAGTTGCCACGGAGATACGCTGTTCACTATGTGATGGTAGCTGAAAAAGCACTATCTCAAGTCATAAGGAACTTGTTGATACCCTGAACTATTTTAGAGAAATGATAGGGACAACCTCAACATCGGTAGCCCTTCAATGATCATAGTGTCCTGATAAAGTTCCGTTTAATTATACATGTATGCATTAATACTACAAAATATCAAACTCTCCCTACGCATAACACAGCTATGAAACAAAGACCAGCAGCTATGTTGGCACGGGCGGCCCACTAGAGATTGTAGTGACTGGCCCAGCAATTCCGATACAGTACCAGGTATCCAGCCACAGGTTCGAACAGTCAGAACCAGCCCCTGGGTTCCATTTATAGAAGTCACTGAGAATCAATATTAGTAAACACTCTTGCACATAACAGAGTCCACCGACTTACTTCAAAGCAATGCCAGCGGAGTTGGCAATGGCCCAGCATCCATCGCCGGGCTGAACAAAATAGAATCTCCTACAACCAGCAACCATCCCTCCCTGTGTTGGAGAGGGTGTGGTAATAGCTCCACCAGCCGATGTTGTTGCGCTAGATGAAACAGGTGCAGAAGAAGGTCCGCTGGATGATGCGGAGTTGGAAGTCGTAGGCTTCGTAGTAGTCACACTCCCACTCGCGACGCCAACACAAATGTAAAAGTTTGGTGTAAGGTTCGTACACTTGGAGGTGCCTAGTGCTGGATTCCAGGTCAAGAGCTGAAGCTCTGTAGATCCCTTTTTGCTAGCAATTGAAGCGCATGTATCCGATCTGGTGGACCCATTAGTATGTATGAATATCGCACGCTGCAAGAGTTACAACTTACCGAGAGACAAGCCAGAAATCACTACAATTATCCACCATGCCACTCTGTGTAGGCATTTCAGAGGGGGGAGCAGTGGTACTCGGTACACCGGTTGTACGAGTAGTCGGTGTTCCAGGAATACCGATGCAGAGATACTGGTTTGCAGCTATACCCCCACAGTTTGTTCCGACAGTAGGGTTCCATTTGATCAAGTCATTTTTCGAGAACCGGCCATACATACTTATAATCTCGTCACAGGTCTCAGAGCCATCTGCTTTGTACCATGTATTGCAGGTACTAATTTGGTTTTGGGGTACCGAAGAAGGCCGTTTTGTTTCCACAGGAGGTGCAGGTAGAGCGTCTCCAGCTACCACACAGTAGTAGTAGTTCAACCACAAGCCATCGCAGTTGCCATTCAGCGCAGGGTTCCAAGCAAAGAACTGCTGTTGCGAAACGAGACCATACTGAAGTACCTGCCTGCAAGTTTCTCCCTTTAAAGCACACTTGGTTAGTAAATCTACGCGTTAGAGATACTGGATTCTTACATCTTTTGCTTGATGGAAAGCCTTGCAGTTGGAGGCAAGGCCTGCTTGGGTTGGTGAAGCTACGAAGCTGGAGTCTGCATCCTGGTATGTTGTTGGCGTATATGCCGTGGGCTCGGGAACTTCCACAGGAGCGGCGGTAGTGGTGTAGTCGAACGTCACCGTCATGGACTGCGGCTGGATGCCAATACACACCCACCAGCCATCATAGAGTCCAGAGCAGTCACTATCTAGGGCTGGGTTCCAGTCAAGACTACGTACACCAGCAATTAGTTTTCTTCTTTTAACTAATACCAAAGTAGGAGTTTGACTCACAACTGTGCCATTGTTGCTCGAGTAGCTGCACCGACGATTTGCTGACATGTTTCTCCAGCTGACACCAGATGCCAGTTGTTGCAGTACGAAACCTGTCCTGCTTGTGTCTTCTTCGGTGGAAAGGCAGTCTCCACCGTAGTGCTTGAGATATTCCATGTGTGTACCGGCTCTCGAATAGAGTACGGGGCAGTAGGAGTAACAGGCTTCCGTGTACTAGAAGACTTTACTGATGAGGTCTTCGATGAGCTGATCGTACTGCTGGGCACACTCGTGACTGGCACACTGGAAGAGCCGCTCCTGATACTGGAACTCGTAACTGGCCTACTCGCAGAGCTACTCCTGATGCTGGAACTCGGGAGTGCACCAACTCCGACACAGTATGACGAACCAAGCCAGAAGTTGGTCAAACAGTCGTCAGAAACATCAGGGTTCCATTTGATAAAGTTAGCGTGCGAGATCCCATATTTGGTTTCCACTGCCCAACATCCGTCGCCGCTGACAACAGTATGGAAAGCATTGCAATTTTTGGCAATGTTGGGGTGTGTAGGTCCTGTAGGGCTGCTGGTTTGTGCATTACTGAACTTGAAAAAAATCGACGCGGCAACGAAGCCCCGCCAGAAAGACATCGTAACCATGGCAAAAATGAGTGAATATGTCGTCAATCATCCAAAAGCTCAGGTATGAGCTGGTATGAACTTGACGTTGAGATGGGGGAAGCCTCGTGCCAGCAAAATGCCAAGGTCTTCCAGGCAAAGTAGGTGGTACGGTAGCCACAGACTGTGCATTCCGTTTAATGAGCATCGTCCCCTGGCATCAGTCCAGACATGCTCGAAATATCCTTACCCCTGCTGGCAGCCTTAGGCAAGCAGACCAGAAGGAAGGCTCCTTCCGAGTTGTAAACCGAGTATCCATCGATGGCACGCCTTGGGCGGCAGTTCGGCGGAACAAACTAGTATGTAGTGTATGCACTAAAGCGATCAAAATGGAAGTGATTGCAAGCCGAGTAGCTGTGGGACATATAGACAAGGATTCAATTTTCATGCAGGGGCTACGCTAAGTGTAAATTACAATACCAATACAACAGAACGGGCTAGTTGGATCGATGTTCGCGAAGGGCCTGTCAGGGCGCGGGCCGATTCACTAGCATCTTAGACCCCAACGCCGTAAGGCCGCCCCAGATAACAGACATTTTATGAAGACTCGGTATTCAGGCCACCAAGCCTACATGTGGTAGGTGCCGACAGAATCCTGGCTGCCGGGCCCGCATTTAGGCCTTCTGTTCACCCCAATAATCGACATCAAGTTATGATAGGCTAGCTCGAATGCTAAACAAAGAACAGATTCAACATACTCTCCACTAATCTTGGCTTGCCACTGCTTCCATGCTGTAAGGGACGAGATCATCCGCGAACTAGCAGATGCTGTCTGCAGGGGAATGCAGGAACCGTTTCTTTCTAGCACCATTTTGAAATTAGATCGGCCATTATGGTCTATGCCCGAGCTTGCAGTCGCAATGGTTGTGAAGCAAGCTCGGCGAAGTCCCCTCGCTGTTGACACTGAAGTCCATTGCCACTCTTTCTTTCGTAGTTTGTGAAAAAAAACATCGCCGTAACCTAGTGTACTTTGTGAATTTTTTACAACCATGGCTGTCGGATCGTTTACAAGACGGGCATTATTGCTTGGTTTGGGATTGCAGTCAATCAGCTTCTTTTCTGTTCTGGCCCAAGAGAACCCCAGCCTTCGCACGTTCGCTCTCCAAGGTGGCGCTGAAGCAGCAGCCGAGGACGATGACTTTACATGCAGTAAGACGAAGGGTTGCAAGATAGGATGCTGCGGAGCGCTGTTCGTCCACCATGGAAAAAGACTTATCGCTTTACTAACGAGTTTTGTAGAGACCCAACGACTGGAAAAGCTGTTTGTGGACTTGGTCCCGACTTCTGCGGTGAGGGTTGTATTTCCACATGCAACTACAAAAGCGAATGCGATCCTGGATGGGGAGCCCAGTGGTCCAATGCTTCAACATGCCCTCTCAACGTGTGCTGCAGCGACTTTGGCTTTTGTGGCACGACTTCAGACTTTTGTAATGGGGTTGTCACACCCTCGCCTCAATGCAATACGAGGACTGCGGATGAGAAACTCATAGGCTATTATGAGGGCTGGAATATGCAAAGACCGTGTGGAAGTAAGCAATTTTGTACTCTGTTAATTAATATTATACTGATAGATGCAAAGCTATGCCACCGGAAGACATCCCTCTTGGAGCATACACTCATATCAACTTTGCATTCGCGCTTATCAACCCAACAACATTCCGCATCGATGCTATGGATGCTGAGACGGCCAAAATGTACAAGAGAGTAACCAAACTGAAGGAAAGGCAGCCCGGACTTCAAGTCTGGATCGGTCAGTACAACCTAGTTCCTACTTAACCTGTTACTGATTATGTCTACTGTAGCTATCGGTGGATGGGCCATGAATGATCCTGGCCCATACCGGACCACCTTCTCCGACCTTGCGAAATCCACTTCTGCACAAGCTTCATTCTTCGAATCGCTAGTGACATTCATGAAAGCCAATAACTTTGATGGCGTTGATATCGATTGGGAATACCCTGTTGCAGAGGACCGTGGAGGTATTGCGGAAGATTTTGAGAATTATGTAACCTTTTTGAAGAATCTGCGCAACCACCTCAACGGCAGTGGTCGATACTACGGCCTTACGCTCACACTCGTAAGTTGGCTTTTCGTCAAACTAAGCAGTTCACGTAACTAATTCCCATCTAGCCAGCATCTTACTGGTACATGAAAGGCTTCGACATCATCAAGCTGGAGCCATGGGTAGATTGGTTCAATATCATGACTTATGACATCCGTAAGACAGTTTTCATCTCTTGCAATGGGGGAAAATATGCTGACTTCGCATTATCCAGACGGTGTTTGGGACAGTACAGTCAAAAGCATCGGTCCATACGCTTTCGCACACACCAACCTTACCGAAATTCAGCTAGGGCTCGAACTTCTCTGGAGAAACAACATCAACCCTGCTCGCGTAGTCATGGGTCTAGGCTTCTACGGTCGAAGTAAATCTCCATTCCCATACCTGCTAGTGTCGATGCTAACTCTCACACTTAGCTTTTACGATGAAGGATCCCAACTGCATGAGTGCGGGCTGTGAGTTCACTGAGGGTGCGAAGGGTGGGGAATGCACAGGAACCCCAGGCGTGCTATCAGCCGCTGAGATCAACAAGATCATCGAGGATGGCGCAAAGGTTTCTCACGATCTCGAAGCTGCAGCGAAGATTGTCACCTGGGGCGGTAATCAATGGGCAAGCTTTGATGATGCTGAGACGCTGAAGATTAAGCTAGACTATGCAAATCAGCGTTGCTTGGGAGGGTAAGTCGATCTGCGAATTCTTGGCCCGATTATGTGCTAATATCATTATCCGTCGCAGAACCATGATATGGGCAATCGACCTAGATGACGGTTCCTTGTTAGAAGCGTTGACCTCGGTGAGCACTAAGAAGAAGGAAGAGGTCTTGGCAGAATCAGATTTCGATATGCCGGACTTTGGTACCAATTGGGATTTCGTTCCAAAGGAGGCTAACGGAAAGCGAAAGAGGGATGAGCTATGAGCTTTGACAATTGAGGAGTGTGGCTTAGGGTATGATTCATACGTTAATGGATTTGAGACGCTCGTGAGCTAGTTTTGCATTGTATTCTTAAGTAAGCAGCACGGATTTTGATGGATGTGCCTGAAATCTATGGGTCTGGGGGGTATCTAGAGAAAATCACCCTCTATTAAACAGCATTCGCATGATGATAAGCCTGCAAATGTGATCTATCGTATTTAGACTGCATCACCAAAATTTCAGCTTGCTAGACAACGAGCTCTCTTTCCTATCTTTCGTCGCAACTTCAGCAGCATCTTTCGCTATTCACACCTTGAGTTAGCGAACAAATAATGAGCCGACAACAGGGCATCAGTGCAAAACTCACCATTGAGCTCATCTCTCGTCCTCTTCATGGCTTCCAATGCCTTTTCAAAGAACGGCTTCAGCTCCAAATCCTCCTCTGCCCACGTCTCCCCATGAATCTCATACTGCTTGAACCAGGCCTCTAAAGAATCAATCGGCGAGGAGCCACCCCTCGAAGGAAGCCTTGGGTCGGCGCCGGCTTCGAGCAGTAGTTCAACAACAGGAAGATTTTGCTTGAGCACAGCGTAATTGACAGAACGACCATCGCAGATCGCCCAGTCTAGTGCGCGACCTTCAGCACGGGGGCGGCGGTCTAGTTCGTTGGGAGAGAACCCTGCGGCCAGAGCAGCGCGCATGAGCGCGAGACGGGTTTCCAGAGGCTTGTTGGATACTGCCTCTCTGAAGAGTGTGAGTTCATTAATATCCGTGCTAGCGGGTACTTCAGGATCCATGTCGGCGAAATGGGATGGTGATAACAGTTTGGGATGCGGATTGTAGTGCAGTCAAGTGCTGTGTAGGGTTGGTAGGGCGCTGGGTCGTTTCTTTAGAACTATGCCAGCCCAGATGGTGACCAAAGTCCTAGCTGTAAATGGCGATCACTAAGAGGTCGTTGTGCATAAAGGAAGGCGCCATAGTTAAGTCCCGAGAGGCAATACTACTACTATCTGTCTAGTCCGCACTGAGTAAGGTGTTTGGGGGCTCCGTGTCAAGTTAGTTGGCCAGAGTCTGCAGGTCACATGACAAACATCAACATTTCCTTTCCCTCGAGACTAGCATAGCGCAACCAGAAAAGCTCAAAATATCGCAGTAGGCGAAAAAAAAGGAGAAATCTGAAGCTTGATTTCCATCAAATGAAAGAAAATTAGGAGAGAAAGAAGACTATATCTACTTAGGTCTTGAAGTACAGTCAAACCAATTTTTGGTTGCGTACAAGATGACGTTGTTCATGTCGCCATATATACCACGAACAAGCATAGTTTTGCTCAAAACTTCTAGGCGCTATGCATTCTACGTAATTCTGTAACCTTGTTAGGCGGGTCCTAGAAAAATGCCATGTGATTCCAAGATTGGTGAGGAGGGTTCTTGAGGTCGATACAAGCCTAGTAGTATAGATCGATTCAGACTTTCACAACTTCCTGTCGCAATATGAACACAGTGACAAAATATTTGCAAGCAAAATAGTGAGTTCCGTCTCTAGATCTCAAGACGGTTATTTATACTTACGATAACACACAAGTGTAAAACCCACACTGCAAAAACGTATTGATTCGGCACCGAAGGTGATCATATCTATCTCTCAGCCACCTTAGCATTGGATCGACCTACCGCCAATAATCTACAGGAAGTCGACTTGAATTATCCATCATGATGATTGTAGATGAGGTTAGATCTTATCGTCACATATGAGCACAAACGAACGTGAATAAAGGCGTCTCTGCATATCTCTTTCCGCAGTCGAGGATTCTGTATTGGCTAAAAACCAAGACAATCTTTCTACGAGTCGGCTAGTTTTCTGCATTAATATCTAGTTCCGGGTCAGTGTCCTAACATAGTAATTGGCATTGAAAGTAGAAAGTGGGGTAGGATTGGCACTTTGGAGTCAGGCGACCTTTTCTGCTGCATCGCAACACGAACACAATCACTACCAATCTCATGCAACTTATTTTCAATATCTTTTAATAGTGTTTTAAACCTGCTCGAGACACCACATTTCGTCATTCTAGCATCACATCTTACAGCTCTCAACGCCCGTGTGGTTTCCCATGTGGTAGCTTTGCGGTGGAGCAGATCGCGTGCAATCTCGAGGAAGTATAAGTAACTCTACGAAAGGTCGTTTTTTAAATACCCAAGTGTCGAGAGTTTCGCATCTGAAGCTTGTATTTTCCGCCAAGAGCGTCGACCGCACTTGATAAGGAAGGTGTTCGTTCTCCGTTGATCAAGAGATCCTTGGGGTTAGAATGCCATACATCGTGAATTTCTCGGCTGCTATCAGGTGGTGGGACAAGTTGCACTCTTGCATCTGAGCAGCACATGTAATTGGATTCTCTGCGCTTGGCTCAGCACAGCAGCATTTGCCAAGGACGGACACCCGTTATCCAAGACTACTCTGCACCAATCACACGCACAACGCCACGAGAGTGGATTGAAGGATTGTTTTGGAAGAACTACCTTGCTCTCTATGTTGATGCTTATCTCTGGGCGTTCGACATGTTGGACAGCTTCTTCGGTGCCCAGAGGCATATCGTTGACGGCTTTGCTAAATGAGGCAGCTCACAAGGCGAAAGAATTGTGTCGTAAGGACCGACATAAATAGTTTGAATGGCCTCCTTTCGCGGGACTGAGGTCCGTTCACTCAACGCTCGTCACAATGTCGACCGGTGCCAATCTAGAGATTGTGGATGCCGCTCTGGCAGCCACCCCTGCCGTTCAGAATGATGTGAGAGCAAGTGCAAGTTTTGAGAAGAAAGACAGCTTTGTGAAAACTTCTGAGAGTCTTCGCGGTCCCAATGGCGAGGAGTATCCTACCGATGAAGAATGGGCGACACTTCGCCGCGTTTATGGAAAGGTCAGCTGGATGAGTACGTATACTACCCGAATATCTTTCTGTATCATTCAGATTAATTTTCAACTCTACGGATAGTTTATGTCATCGGAGTTGTCGAAATGTGTGAGCGTTTTGCATACTACGGAACAACAGCAGTCTTTGTAAATTTCATTCAGCAGCCACTGCCTACAACAGGACCATTCCCCGAAGCTGGAGCCGCTGGTGATGGTCAGCCCGGAGCATTGGGAATGGGTCAACGTGCCAGTACGGGTCTGACTCAATTTAACACCTTCTTTTCTTATATCATGCCTTTGGTCGGTAAGAGTCCTCCTTTCAAACTCGCTATATCTCTGCTAAATACACTATCTAGGTGGCTGGCTAGCAGATGAGTACTTAGGCAAGTTCAAGACCATTTACGTGGCTATTTGCGTTGCCACGTTGGGACACATCTTGATCATCATCGCTGCCATCCCTCAAGTCATGGGACCAAACCCGAACGGAGCTCTTGCTTCATTTATCCTGGGTCTGATCTTATTTGGTGCGGGTGTTGGATTGTTCAAATGCTGTATCTCGCCGCTCATTGCGGAGCAATATGAGGCCAGTCACCCAAGGGCGACCATACGCGTCGAGCCAAACGGAGAACGCGTCATTGTCGACCCTGGAATCACCTACTCCAGGATTTATATGCGTTATTACCTTTTGATCAATGTGGGAGCATTGGTTGGTCAAGTCTCTATGGGTAGGTTGATTTTGACAATGGCGATATAGCTGCTAACCTTCCTCTCAGTGTACGCCGAAAAATACGTAGGATTCTGGCTTTCGTTCACACTGCCAACCATTCTCTTTGCATTCTGCCCACTCTTGATGGTCGTTTTCAGCAAACACTACGTCAAGAAGCCGCCACAGGGCGATGTACTACTCAAGTCCTTAAGAGTGTACGGATTGGTCTTGAAAGGTCGTTTCTCGATAAACCCCATGCGCACATGGAGGAACTTCTCCGATCCAAATATTTGGGACAGCGCGAAGCCGAGCAAAATGGCCAATAAGCCGTCGTGGATGACGTTTGACGATGCGTGGGTTGAAGAGGTCCGGCGTGGTATCAAGGCCTGCGAGGTGTTCCTCTGGCTGCCTATCTTTTGGTTGCCTTATAGTCAAATGTGCGTCCTGAACCCTATTGCAGTATACGAAACTCAAGCTGACTTTAGTCTTTCCAATCTAGGACAAGTAACTTGGTCTCCCAGGCATCGACCATGAAACTCAACGGCGTACCAAACGACATTGTCCACAACCTGAACCCCTTCACTCTTCTAATTTTCATCCCGATCTTCGACAAGGTTATCTATCCCAAGCTCGCTCACGGGGGCATCAAATTTTCGCCTCTGAAGAAAATCCAAGCTGGTTTCGTTTGCGCGTTGCTTTCGATGGTGGTCGCTGCAGTCATCCAACACTTCATCTACGAAAAGTCGCCCTGCGGTAAATACGCAGGCAGCTGTGACGTGCCCCCAGACCTATCGGTGTGGACTCAAGTCCCGGCATACGTCCTCATCGCCTTTTCGGAAATCTTCGCTTCCATTACTGGATTGGAATATGCGTACACCAAGGCACCCAGGAACATGCGATCGTTCGTGACGGGTATGTTCTGGTTCACTCACGCGTTTTCGTCTGCCATTGCCCAAGCCTTTGTGCCTTTGGCTGATGATCCGCTGCTGGTGTGGTTGTACACGGGTATCGCTATCCTTACGTTCCTTGGTTATGTTGGGTTTACGTGGACGTTTAGATCGCTGGATAAGGAAGATGAGAGTCTTGATAAGCTTCCCGAAGGCGAGTACCAGTCTAACGCAGAGTTTAATGCGGAGAAGACTGCGAATGTAGATAGGGCTTAGCTAGGGTTTTTGAGCTCTGGTATTGGGTTTGCGGTGACTGATCTGGCATCGACTTGGTAATTGATTAATTCCACAGGCATTATTAGCCATAAATTGCTGGCCAAGTCACATTATCTTTTACCTACATATTCATCCTTTCTGTGGTTGATGTGTGGCGGTGAAATCTTATAGATGCAAAGTCTTTTCAGTGCCCCACATGCTCTTATTCTTCTTTCTCACAACCGTAACCGTTCACACAAGTAAGTAGTGACCATGCGGCTCAAATAATACCCACTTATATATTCCCGGAAATAAGCTATACCCGCCACTAATTCTGTTCTCTCCCACACGTGTTGCCCCTTCCGAGGAAAGCATGCTTCCATCGTCATACACAGGGTCCAAGCTTCAACCCACAAGCCACAAAAACCCATAATTCCAGACCCGCCATGCCATCTTGCTATCACCACTTTTCCGATAAGGACCCATTTTTAAGCGCAAGCGCGTACATATTGTCATGAAGGCGGAGCGGTGGGTAAAGCCTCGAAGGGAGTGGTCTCGGATACGCCACGGAGTTTCGATTTTTTCTCGGGGAACTGAGGATCAAGTGGAGAATACCTAGTAATGGATCTTTTTTCCAACTATTCATAAAAAGTGACCTGTTCTTTTCTTTCCTTCTTTCTTGAAAGCTTTGAGAAGTGCCTTTTTTCGCCATGGCATTCTTCCTCCAACACCGGGCCATCCAGCAACATGTCAAGCAAGAACTCTCACGCATAACCGACTCCCCCGACGAATTTTCCACCTATATTCCTCGGACGCCAGAAGAACAGGAAGTGCAGGAATCTAGACATGTTGAAACAAAAGGCGAGCCGTTCACGCAGATACCAGGTATCACGTTGATGCAGGATTGCAATGGGAGGAGGTACTATCAGGTTGATTGGGCTGGCCCTAA